GAGCGTCAGCCCCTGCGAGCGCAGCAGGCGTGTGACGGTAATTTAGTCTCTGGGAATCTTTCCAGTAGCTGAACAGAAAAAGAGCAGGAGCGGGGTGATTTCTGAGGCAGGCTCGTTCTGCTGGAGACAGGGGATTTCAGAAGTGCCCCCTCCCTTCCCCACGGTAGTGTCAACACCTTTCTTTTTCTGCTTTCCCCTCGAGTTGCTGATTGTTCTCTTCCCTAGAGCAGTTCAACGGGTAGGAACATAGCGAGGGCATTGGCAGCTTTTACCTCGGCATCCTCCAGCCCTGCTGGAGAGGCACTCGACACACAACAGTGGTAAAACTGCTGGCAGAGGTACAGCCCCGCTCGCTCTGGCTCTCCTACCGCTCCTGCCGCCAGACAGAGGGAGACTGCACGCCTTGGAGTCTGGAGTTAGAGGAGTCAAAGAGATTGGGAATCCTCAGAGGTGCGTGTGTTGCCGCTGGCTGGCTTTCCAGCGATGGGGGATTGAACTGGTCTCCGACAAGGCAGCAAACCCGGAGCTGCCGTGCTGGGGAACGCTCTGAAGCGCTCTCTGCAAGCAGGCTCGCCGAGTTGCTGCAGCTTTTCTCTGCGCCAGGCGGTGTTTCTCTTTTGGATGGCTGTGGTGTTAAACGCTTCAGCAATAAAGAGGCTTTGTTGTGGTCTCTGCAGCACTGCTTTTGCCTTGGCTAGCAGCAGCCTTTTTGTCTGAATAAATGCTTTCCCTGGAGTTGGCTGGGGGGGCATGTGTGGGCACGTGTGTGTGTGTGTGTTTGTGCCTTCACTGGTGGGTGTGCATTGGGCACAGCTGTGAACAGGCAGTTCTGGGAGGTTCAGCACTTGCCCAAACTTGTCGTCTGTGCGCGCCAGAACAATGTGCTTTTCCTCACAGTTGGGAATGCTGGCCACTGTCGCGGGCTTTTAAGAGCGCTTGAGTGAAATTAATGGACACTTTCCAGCTAGCAGCAGAAACTGTTGCTAGCACCTAGCCCAGTCACGTATTTACTCTCAGGAAGTGATCAGCATTCCCTGAATGAAAGGAAGGACCAAGCTATACAGATCCTGGCCAGTTTGTGCAGTTGCAGGGCTACAGCTGGGCAGGCAGTTCCCTCCTCATCATGCTGCAGGCACCAGTTCATATGCAGCAGTGTACTGTATAATGCAAAAGTGAAGGTCATACAATGACCTATTCCTTTGAAGCTTTGTAATTTATTTCCTTTGGCACAGGTATTCTGGTTGGTTCCAAAACCTAAGTTTTTGGGGGGTATCAGTTCAGCCCTGCTACAGGCTGTCAACAGAAACACAAAACTCCCCACCTTCCTCATCTTCATCTGCCC